AAAATACTTCTAATAGTGCTGTAATTTTTGGGTTCCATAGTAGATCTGATGTAAATTAACTTCATATTAACTATTTTTATATAGAGGTAATTCTATATATCACTTAATATTAAGAAGACAACAAATGGGAGATTTTAATAACCATGTTACTAAATTTTGACCCTGAAATATTTGGTAATACCAATGTTCACTTTGTCTGGTTTTATTGCAGCATGCCCCAATTTAAAGATTAATCTAGTGATTTTTAGCCATTTAAAAATCCTTAGCTGGTTAAGTCGTTTACTACCTAAATTGGTAATTTTATTGCAATTACTATAGGCAGAAGGTAATACAAAAATAATTGCTAAATTTAGAATTATGCATGCAGATTATAAGCCGGCTAACATCACTCACTAGATTAATCTTTATCTCTACGAATTAATAAGAATAATATTTCTTATTGTTAGAAGAAATTAGTCTAAAAGATTGTTTGGCTTCGCTAATACTGATAAAAAAATAGACTCGAATAATAAAAAAATTAAAGATTCACGCCCAAATGGAATAGTTGTACGAACCAACAAGACGACATTTTTATTGTTAAAAGGAAATCAATTTTATTTCTACGAACCAATAAGTTAAAAGAGATCAATTTAAAGATTGATCTTTACAAATTAACAATAATAAGAATAATATTTCTTATTGTTAAAAGAAATCAGTCTTGAGATATAAAAATGGACTAAAGCGATTAAAATATATTCACTGCCAAAATGGAATAGTTTGTTCTTTTAGTTAATACTAATAAAGTCACAAATATTCTACGACAAAATAAGTTAGAAATTCATAAATTACACATGGTTATAAAAAAAAACAAAATTGACCAGTTGTTAATAGTTCATAAGGAACAAAAAATAAATTTATTTGCGGATGTAGATATTATTATATTATTATTATCACGGGCGATTGCTGCAGTATTCTTTTTGCAATCCACTTGATACAAAAATAGAAGATATTGTAAAATTATATAACAATATTCCGAAGTCAAAAAGTGTAGAAGCCATTACTTGGTAACAAAAAAAGGCTACTGACACATAAAAAATTGCGTTTAAAAGAGCGGAAATGAGAAATGTATCTACTACTACCTAGAAACATAAATTACGATTTTAGATTATTATCTTGTTTTATACAAAAAGTAATATACCAATCATTATATTAAAATCACAAAGTTTCCAATAAAATTCTGTATATAATATATATATACCACTAACAAAAACAAAAATTGCTCAAAGAGAAATTGATCTAAGAGTCAATTTATAGGTTGAATATCATCATTTACAACAATTCATTGCTATGCAAAGGGAATTTCAGGGAGAGTAAAAAAAATTTGAATTGGCTCTCTTGTGTAAAAAAAACTAAATACAGTCAAACCTTGTCACAATGGATGAACGGGACACATAATAATAAGAAACTTTATTGCGGCAAGATTACTATCTTGCCACAACGGATTTGTGATATATTATTATTATTATTATCATTATTATTATTATTATATGTGGCAAGTGTATGTTATTTATTAAATACAAATTTGGAAAGATCATCGACCTAAAAATGAGAAATTCAAGAGAGTTTGATAGTATAGTGGATCACATGATATTTCAATTTTTCTGATTTTTAAAAAAATTCATACAAAATGGAGAAAACGAATGGTAAGAAATTATTTTTTAGTTTTTTTTTTGCCAAAGTAAAAATTAACTAAAACTCAAAATAAATAAAAGTGGGGATAAAGATTTTTATCTCTAATTGATATTATTATTATTTTTGAAATAAAGAAAGGCTTTATATCTGATAAAATTAATAATTGATAATTTCGAATTATTATTATATTCATCTTACAATATGCTAAATATGACATTATTATGATTTATTTTCTTAATGACAATAAATCCTAATTGGTTGATTGGTTCATTTTTAGTCTTTCTTGATTCAATAAAGAAGCTCCTGGCTGAAAATAATGAAGGTGAAGTTATAAATTTAATGCAACAACAAAGTAATATAGAAATTCCTGAATCGGATGTATGGATGGGGAGAAGTGATTTTTTTTTTTTAAATTTTCCTGGTGATATTTTACATTCAATTGATCATCAAATTTTTTTGATTTTTTGGTTTTAGGAGGTTTACCCTTTATTAGAAAAAAGTGGATTAACAAGATATCAAATTTATTCAAAAATTTTAGACAAATTAGCAAATAATTTTATAAAAAAAGTTGAAACGCAAAACTGGGATGATGCAAAGTAACAACATTTTTATTTTTTGAAAATCAAAAATATTGCATTTTATAATAACAATAGCATCATCATTGTTGTTATTGTTGTTGGTATTTATTATTGTTGTTGTTATTTATTATTATTATTATTATTATTATATAGGATACAAAATTTTATAAATTCCAATAAATCTTTATTTGAATCTGATGAATTTCGTAAAGTGATAATATCAGTTATTAATAAATATTATAAACGTTTGAAGGGTCCAAACACTAATATTTTTGAATTTTTAAAGAGAGAATCATGGGTTATACCAGTAAGTATTAAATTCAGAATTTAAAAATAGAGTTATTTTTTAATTTATTTTTTATTTTATTTTATTTTATTTTTTTTAAAAGGAATGTTCAGTTGAAGTTAAACGTGAAATATTGTCTCGTGATATAAGTCTGTTTAAGGAATATGTGCAACCAGCATTTGAAGATTATCTGAAGGATGCTTTTATAGAATTGATGAGTAGGGAGATAAGAGGAGTTAGTATATATGAGATTTTAGATTATAGGTGAGTATTTAATAATAATATATATATTTTTTTTAAAAAAAAGAAGTAATCCTAATGCCGATAAATTATCTTCATTATTAAAGAGTTAATCAACGTGGTGTTCTTGAATTGGTTAATTTAGTTGGCGATAATAAAGAACTTTTTCATGCTATTCCACAATTTTTTAGAGATTGGTTTAGAGAGTATGGATGGACAAAGATTCCAACATTTAAATTTGATTTTTTAATGGCAATGCAAAATGCTGGAAGGATTCAAGTAAGAAAATTTATCAAGTTGTTATTTTTTTTTAAGATTAATATTATTTATTTTAATAATTATTTTATATTTTTCTTTTAGATTTGTAAATTAGAACCTGCGTATCATGTAGTTTGGTATTTGAATAAGGGACTTAGACAAGGATTTAAATTGGAACAAATTGTTGAAATTAAAAGGATATTGGATGATTGTTATAAAAATAATATTGCTACAGAATACATGCAAGTAGTTTTTTTTTTTTTTTTTTTTGATAAAGAAATGAATCAATCAATCATTTTTTTTAAAATGATAATAATAACGATTATTATTATTATTATCATATATAGTGATTGTGCATTCCTCTTCTTGGATCCACTTATCGCCAATGTATTTACTGCTCAAATAATTGCACAACTCAAACAATATGTTGAAACAGATTACTTGGGAAAACACCCGACTAGACATGTCAATGATGTTACTTTAATTATAAGGGTAGATATATATTTTTATAAAAAAACAAAAGGTTCACGTATATTTATATTTATATATCTAAACTTTTTGTGAAATAGCATGAAAAGACATCACTTTTAAAATTCTTGACAGAACTGGTCAACCTTGGCATAAATTCACGAAAAATGTTACAAAGAAGAGAATTTTATGAAGTACCGTTTGATGAGGCAGATATTTATGAAATATTTTATCGACAATTATTGCTTTTTATGTATGATGATAAATGCAGAGAAGAAGAGATAAAATCTTGTTTTAATGAGAATCCTACAATAGATGATGAAAATGATACTGGGAGTAATAATGACCAACCTATATTTCGATTCAGAGAACCTGAGGTTGCAATATTAAAAAAAAATGAACTTGCTAGAAAGGTTAGTAGATTAATATATTTCCTTATGTTTAATTACATTATTTATAATGTTACATTTATTTAATATATGTATATACATACATACATAAATGCATACCGATAGTTATTCTGTCATTATTTGGCTGAACGCTTAGATAATAAAGACACAGATAGATTTCGACAGTGTTTTACTTATTTTAGTTTAACAATTCAAAAAGATGTGGATGATATTTATGATTATGCATTCCAAACGTTCACCACTATTGTCATTACAAAACATAGAATACGTGCACTTTGTAGCAAAAGATGGCGAGCAGTAGTTTCGTGCTTTTTGTCAGTAGCCAATAGAAGAAAAATATTCCACGAATTTACACTAAAACTTTTGATTGAATTGGCATCTGAAGAAAATGTTCAAATAATAACAGATTCTGGAAATGCAGAAAAATTCAAGCTAATAAGAGATTGGTCCGAGGTTTTACTTGCTGGCGTAGTTCAAGTAGTTCCGGTAACTATTAATATATTATATATATGTATATTTATATTAAAACTTATTATTAATCATGAATTTTAAATATCACACATGCAGTATTCAGAAAAGAAAAAATTTTATGAATTATATAAAGAGTTATTAAAGAGAACCGAAAATTCACTTGGCGGAGTGTTCAAGATCAATTCAAAACCTGATAGTCTTATGTTTGCCATATTAAAAAGTTTAAGTGGTGAGAGTGATTCAAGTGAAGAATTAACAATGTAAAAATTTTAAATGATTGTATGAAGTCATGTATCTAAATGCAGTTATTGTTTTTTCATATATATTAATTAATAAATAAAATATGCAAATTAAGTTTTTATTTTATGAACTAATATTAATATTAATTTACGGATTAGGTGGTATTATTATCCCCACATTATGTCAAGATAACGATCATGCATTAATGAAATGAATGGGTGAATTATATTCTGTTGTTATTGTTATTACATGAATGAACAAGATGGAAAGTAGTTGTAAACTATGGTTATTTATTTACCTTTAATCTATATATGCTTTCCATTCGATGCTTTTACCCCACAATGCAAATTTTACTAATTAAGTAATCTTTGTGATTTTTTTAAGGTTTGTCACGTGATGTTGCAATCGCGTTAAAAAATAAAGTTTCTTCAAAGAATCACATTCCATCCATCCTTCAAAATTGTTAATATATATAATACATACATTGAACCAATAGTTTGACAAAAAAATAATTACCATGTTAAAGATTACATTTTGTACGCCCTTTATCATTTGATATCAAAAGTTCATTCATCATTCAAAACCTGTTTAATATTTATATTAAATTATTAATATTAAATAAATTTCCCCACGATATTAAATCCGTTCACTCTAACTCACTCGCTCACACTAATCATATAATCAATTATTTGTATGTAAATAAATTGATTAATTAATTAATCAATTTAACAAACAACAATAATAAATATTGTGGGTTTTTTTTTGTGAGAAATTTTTTTTTCATAATACAGTTTGTGGGGGTAAAGTCTATACCAAAATTATTGCGATGACAGAAATTTTAATAATGTAGAGTAGTTAGTTTCTATAAATTTTACTTTCAAGAAATTAGCATGTGAATAAAGATGATGCAGCCAACCGATAAGATGACTTGACTCTTGATGTATGATTATTAAAGAACGAGAGAGAGAGAAAGGATTATATAGACGTGCAGTGATAATTATATAAAACCATTCATTCATTCATTCATTCATTCATTCATTTCATTCACTCACTCACTCACACTCACTATAATCAAAAGGGTCCTTGAAAAAAATTTTTTATTTTTTATATATCAGGAAGTGATCAACTCCACTTTGACGTTTAAATATAATAATATTTTTGTATACGTGTTTGTTTGGCTGAGGGAAATATTTAGTTTTTTTTCTGTCTCAACACATGAAAAATGTAATCATATCGTAAATCGTAAAATTAACAATTATGTACAACATACATTATACAATGTCGATTAAAAAATAAATCGATGCTGTATAAATTATTTATTTTTATATTATTTACATAATCTTTCGACTAATCTGTTACTATTTGTTTCGTATCAATCAATGCATCTACTCGTGATACATTAAAAAACTCATGTACGCGTGGGTTAAAAAAAAAACCCACGTTTTAGTCAATATTAAATGATATTGACTAATATTAATATTGATTAATTAATTAAAAAAAAAATGTTAAACTTTTTGTAAATTTACTTTTTGACATAAATTGCACAATAGGTGGTCCTCTCAATCAGAGTACTAAATAGATGACCGACCTGTACAACTTACCTGTATATATCTTAGTTGTTTTTTTTAAAAAAAAATTTTCTTTAAATCGGATCACGAATTTTTTATTACGCACGTGCATTATTTTTTTTTTTTTATTCCTTTTTCTCTTTATATAAGAGATTGATTACATTCTTTTTTTTCTTCTTTTTTAAACGTATTTATCTATTATATATATATATATCATTAACCTTCTCCATTACCCTTTTTTCTTTTATATTTCTTTTTAATACCCACCCATTTATCAATTTTTAAATGACACAATAATGTTTGCCCACCCTTGATAACTGTTTTCATTTTTTTTTTTCCTTTTTTCAAAATTTCGTTTTCTTTCTACGACAGCAATATTAGCAAAATTCGTTTTTTTTTTCCTACTTTAAATATTAAAAAATGCACGGGAATTCCTTAAATTTTTTCGTAAAGGTTTTTTATAAGAAATAAAAAAAATGATTTTTATTTTTTATATCAGGTTTTCGTTTACTTTTAATAATTAATTCGTTATTATTCTTCTTTTTAAATTTTCCCGTTTTTAAATTTTTACTCTCTCGTACAAATTATAATTACAAAACAACACGAAAAACAAACAATAAGATCACGTGGTAAGTTAATATATTATCAAACAAATATATATATCCTTTTTTAATTTTATCTATTTATTATTTAGGTTATAAAAATTAACTGCAATAAATCGAGATACCAAAATTTTATCAAGAATTAAATATATATATATATATATTTATATTTATAATAATAAATATTAAAAAAATAAAAAAATGTGCTATATTACTTTATGGCGGGGTGATAAAAAATAAGATTTAAAAATTACGTAGTCACTATAATAATATAGTAATAGGTTGGAAGGGAAGATATTATTGTAATAATCTTTTTATTTCACATATTAGTATAGTATTAGTATAGTGCGCATATTAATAATGTATATTTTAAAAATACACTTTTTCCGAAGAAAAAATATGATATAGTGGGGAAAAGTAATTAAATTATTTTTCTCATTCTTGGATGGATGGATGACTTTTTCATTTTATTATTTTATTTTTTTAAATTGTTCTTGATTTTTTTTTACTTCATTCTCTACACGCTAAAGTTAAAAAACAATAAAGGTTTTTCAGGAATGAATAATTTTTAATTTTTTAAACTGTTATTTTTAATCTGCTAAAATTTTCGCCAAAATTATTTATTATTATATAAAAATTTATTATATCCCTTAAAAACGTACAGGAATTTTTGGTTCAAATTTGTGTAGATCTTCCAAGTAAATTCAATCCCTCTTTAAAAATTAAAATACTACTAACAAACCCCGAATATTTTTACATTTTCAATTAACATATATTCTGAAAAATTTATTTTAAAAAAATTGTACATACTGAAATTATATTTAAGGTTTTTTTTTTATAAATAAAGAAACATTCATATTTTTTTAAAAAAAGTTCACTATATGGAAAATAAATAAAGAAACATTCATATTTTTTTAAAAAAAGTTCACTATATGGAAAATTTTAATTATTGATACTAGACCTATGGTCTTAGACGTAAATCATTTAATTTGATCTGCTCAACAAGTTCTATTAGTAAGTAGATTTTGCATACTAGCTAATAATTTTAGTGAAGGAGATATATAGGTTTATATAACTGTATCGCAAATTTTTACTATCAAAAAACGTGATCTGCAAGAAAATTTTCACATTATTTCCTTACCTGTTATATGTAACCCCCAAATAAATTTTTTTAACAAAAGTAATGGGGTTTTGAATATCATTTTCTAAACAAGAAAGGTTGTGGTGGTATTCCAGGAAAATGTCTATTTTTTGTAATTTATGATCGCAATTCCAAATTCCGTTTAAGGGATAGTGCAAGGACCTATAAACGGTCGATGATTATCACATGACTTTAAAGCTTATTAAATAATCCGATAGAAATAAAGCTAAAGGTCTAGGCTTCATTCCCATCGGTATTTTATAAAAAGGTTTTGAGTTATGAGACTTCAAGTTAGAACATTTTGTCAAAAAAAATATCCGTGATACAGAGAATATTATTACTTAAACGAGAAAGATCTTCTAAAAATTTTAAATTTCGGACTGACACATTTATAGATGACTTGAACCCATATATAAGAAAACTGGTGATTTCTAGCACTGTGTATACACCAATATTAATCCTGTATTTACAACAAAAAAAATTGTAATCATTCATCGCATGCATAACTAACTTGTTAATTATGAACTATAATATATTGTTTATTTAGAAGAGTGCGCATATATATAATTTTTTTTTTACCAAAATAAATGTGAAAATGTTGTATTATCTCGCTCGATATTTTTAAATTGGGTGTCAATCATTTAAAAGAATCATAGCCAACACAGCAAAAATCGTTCACTACAATGTTTTACCTTTTGAATTTGCTCTTGTGCTTGCTTTCCAAGAAATTCAGTTTAATAACAAAAACCGTTTTGATATCAAATTCAAATTTTTCATATTAATATTTAAAATATATAATATATAAATATAATAAAGAATGGAACAACAGTCGGTTGGTGAGTTTTAAAAATAGATATTTATTCCGAAATTAGATTTTTTTTTTACGCCTTTATATTATAACGTTAATTAATAAATAATAAATAATAATGAGGATTTACATAAATAAATTACATAAATAAATTACATAATATAATTACATTTAAAAATACAATGAATGTATGAAAATGATAACAATAGCACTAGCAACAATTATTGTTATAATCATGAAAAATACTGATATAGTAATCCAAAATCATCTCTATGTGAATATAACCAAACTTGATTACTATTTTCCTGGTACCTTTGTTTTTTAAGTGCATCTTGAACAGTAATAATATATTCTTTTTGATGAGCCGGGACAATATCCAATACTATTAATTAAATTAAATTACCAATTAGTAATATGACATCACTCTTAATAATAGTAGCAGTAGCGTAAATATATTTACTTTTGCTCTTGAATGATTCGTCTTCTAGTACATTACAATCTATGAATTTCCTTAACAAGTCTCGGCTAACATCAATCGATATTACTGGAATATTTCCATTATTAATGTTTGATAAAAAATTTGACACGTTATCATGCGCTATGCGTATATATTTACACAAAATAGATATATGTTTGTTAAATTATCTCATAAAAAATTTTTTTTGACCACACAAAAATGACATTTTACATACCTTTATCTATTAATAATTGTTTTTGTTTTAATTTCATTTTTTTACTAGGTTTACTTGGTGTCGAAACTCCTACTATATTAATATTAAAATTAGATTGTTGATTCGATGTTTCCGGCGATATTGATAAATTGGTATTGCTAAATTCATGTAAGGTTGCTTTTTTTTAAAAAAATATATAATTAATAATTTTATAAATTTAAAATATTTTTTAAAATAATAATATCTTACATTCGTTGATTGAAATTGAGTTGTGTTTATGATATTTACTACCGGAGGTTTGATGATCGATTCTCATTTGTTCTTGAATTTCTGAACTTAGTTTCATACAAACCTCATTACGTGGAACTAATAAACATAAACAATATATATTAATATATATTAATATAATATTTTCATTGTTACCACCATCATTCCCATTAATTAGTCGATCTTACCTTCATCCTCTGTTTTCCACAACAGATTTTTAACTTTAACAGTTGTTATGGCATCTCTAAATGATGTTGCTTTATAATTATCTTGATTCTTTTGCTTCAAAATAACTATCCAATTAATTCCTTGATTCTTACATGAACTTGCTAGAATTTCTGGTGTAAGATCTTCTGGCTCTTCGTACATAAAATCTGTTTTGATATTATGTGCCCATAATTCACGAACAAGTTCCAATCGTTCATGTATCAAGATTTTACCGAAACTTGCTACGTAAACATCACACTAATATATATATATATATATAGTTCAGTTTCTTAACAAATAAATAAAATATATTTATATTTCTTTACCTTTTTAAGTGCCCAATATCCAAGACTTTTATCTTCTTCGGCTTTTTTCGATTGAATCGTTTTACAAAGTGTTGATTGATATGTTTCTAATGCAATAACTATCTTTTGCAATGCTATATTAACTCCAACTGCATATGTGTTTTGTCTACTTCGACTTGGATTATTCGTAATTACTGGACGTTTAAATTGTTGTATTAAATAATCATACCTTCCTCCTGCTGCCAAAACATCTTTACGGTCAGTATCTTTAACTGCCTGAAATATCACTCCATTTTTATAATAATGATTATTATATCTTTATTATTTATATATTTATAATTAATAAATAATTCTTGATCGGAAAATATATATTAAAATAAAACAAAAAAAAGGTAGCCCCTTACGATAATAAAGGTACAAATATTATTTTACGATTAACACCAAGCGATTTCACATAAGATAATAAAAGTCTAAACTCATTAAATACATCATATATTCGATTATGCATTGTAGTTGCCGGTATTAATTTTTCAAGTTGTTCTGATACACAACCCAAATCACCTAAAAAGTAATCAATAAAAATTATTTTATCATTAAATCCAATAATAATCCAATAGTCCAATCAAAATATATAAATATATAAATATAAAACCTTTAATATCAAATAAAGCTAATTCATCAGCGACACTCCTTGACAATGAATATAGACTCATCAATTGCTTCCTAATATGATTCATCGAATGTTTTCTATCAAGTTGTCCCAACAATCCACATACACCACGTCGTATGTCTTCTGGTATTCGACAACAATCAAATATAGTATCCAGTATGTTGAAATGATTAATATAGAAGCAATAACTTTCTGATTTTAACGGGGGAAACTCTTCAATAATTTCATCTATTATCTTGATAATCTCAGCTTCAGCAACCATTGGCGCAAGTGTTGAATGAACTATATCGAAATCAACTTCATTTACTAATCGTGGTTGTCCACCAACTGTATTCTCCCTATATGCTCTATCAAATGTATAACGTTTCAGATCTGTTATATTATTCCTCGAAACATATCTTGCAAAAGGAACTGTTAAGTCATATGGTAACTAATAATAGATAATCATTGATTAATGTTTTTTAAAGGGAAGGATATAATTTTTCAAAACTAATTATTATAATAATACCTGAACTAGTGCACCGTCAGCATTCAAAAGATATACGACTTTCTTTTCCTCCTCATATAGATCTGATTTTGGTATTAATAACGGTGTACTAAGCTCAACTGCACCATGATGTCTAAAAATTTTCATCAAATGATCATGCACTCTACCAAAAGTCAAAACATTTAATCGATCAAATGGAGGGTTTCCCTAAGATAAATATATTAATTGATTTTGGTAACATTCATTAAAAATCTTTTTTTAAAAATTCAAGTGAAATATCTATAAATAACTAATTTATTAATTTTTTTTTAAACCACACTCTCCTACCGAATCATTGTCATAGGTATAATCCTTATATTTATCTGAAGACTGTGAAAATAATGACGAAATCAATTTGCGATAATATGGCGTATTTGGGTTTGCTAAATACCAATTAATAATAAACGCTATTAATAAATTACTATAATAATTATAATTATTTTATAATATTTTCTTACCAATTGTACGAACATATTCTTGCATATTCTCATCCTCAATTTTTGCTGGCATCCATTCACTCTTCAAAAGTTCCATGCTTGTAGGACGGTCTTTAGGGTTATGTTGTAAACACCATTGAATAATGTGATATTGGTTAACCATTTTATCTTTTAAAAAATCTTTGGGAAATATTATTTGTGGTTTACGTATATTTATAATAGTCTGTTTTTTTTTTTATTTTCAAATGAAAAAAAATTAAAATTAATAAGAAATAGAAAATTTATCATTTTTATTTTATTGATTACAACTTACAACACGACGTTCCATTTCTGTAGAAAATTTGTAACAAATTTCAAACAAGATAATTCCTAAAGTCAATAATTAAATAATTAGTAATCATAAACAATATAATCATATATATCATAAATAAGCTGCTTACCTAATGAATATATATCAACTATAAAAAGCAACAAGAGATTTAAATTAATAAAAAACTATGTATTTTTACACGTACACATATAGTGTGAATAAAATAACATTTAAAATATACCCTTTTGATTGTAACGTGATCCTATGACTGCATTATTAGCAACCTCGGGTGCTACATATAAGGTTGTTCCAATATCTTTTATTTTATTGAAAAAAATTACTTAAAAAAATGAAATTCATAGTAAAACAAAATTTTTAATAAAAAAAAAAAAATACAACACCTCTAGTCATAGAATCTTCACCACTGCCAATTCTATCTACACCAGGATTCCTAAACGATCCTGGATCATACATTGCATTATTTGTTGTAGCTAATCCAAAATCGCCAATCTATTTTTATAATGATGATAATAATATTTTAATTATTGATTATTGTTATCCTTGTCGTCATTATCACTAATATTATCATAATTGTGAAGCAAACCTTAACATCGCCGCCCGCGTCCAAGAAAATATTACTTGGTTTTAAATCTCGATGTATCTAGCCATAGGTTGGGCATAGATAAATGATTTGATCTGAAATCTGTACAATTATAAATATAATTATATAATAATTACCGTTCCCTTTAAAATAATTATTAAAAATGATTAATTTATATATTTTAATATTTCTAAAAAAATAATTTATCTCATAAAAAGAAAAGAAAATTACCTGTGTATGAATGTGAGCTATCAGTTAAAAAAATAAAAATAAAAATAAAAATTTATAAGATCAAAAAAAATTTTTCAAAATTACTTTTTAAAGAAACACTATATATTATTTTTACCAAGTCCTTCAACAATTTGTCGAAAAATTCTATAATCAGATCAATCAACAAATAAATATTAATTATCATTTCAAATACATTATACAAATATATACATGTGAAATATTATATAATACCTCAGCCCTTCTTCTTCTTCTATCCCAGCATCAATAATATCTTTAAGTGTTTTCTTTTCACAATATTCCATTTGTATATAAAGAATACGTGTTTTTTTTGGCGCTGTCCTAGACTTTACTGCAAATCTAACATTTCTAACATCACCATCTTGAATTTCAAATTCTGAATCTGTCTCCGAAGAGGAAGACTCTTTCATACGAGCTTTATTGTATCCTCCTCCTCGACTATTTGACGCGTCAGTAGATAAAAAGTCATATTCATCATCATCTGCTGCAAACACTAAATTATCATCCGAATCTGATGTTTCATCGTCTCCTGCCGAAACTTCTTCACTAAAAGTTTCGGTTTCTTTCATTGATCCGTCCGAATCTTTTTTTTGTTTCCAATAAAAATTTTAATTTAATGAAAGAATTAATTTAAATGTTATGAAAATAATGAATGTATTATTATTACCCTCAAACCAAGTTGTAAAGTACCTAACAACATATTCGTGATGTAAACGAGATAATGTTGTCACTTCTCTTAAAATTTTTCGTGTTTTTTCTATATCATTAGGGTTAAGACGAACTTTCTTGATAGCGTAAAATCTATATTTATGTATATATGTATATAGGAAATAAATATGATTCAATTAAATTATACCAAATAACATATACATTTATATACAAATTAATGGCAGTTCAAATAAAATAAAAGACCTTCCGTCCAACTTATTTTGGGCTTTAACAACTTCTCCAAAACCACCTAAATATGACAGCGTAATGTTTAATCTTTTGTAATTTATTTAACAATAACAAATATCAATAATAATTATTATTATAATCATCAATATAACCTTTTCCAAGAAAGTCTGTTTCCTCAAAATCAAGCTTGTATCTTGAAAAAAAAGTATTATTATGAGTATTTATTGGCGGTGATCCTAAATAATGAGAATTATTATCACCAAAACTTCCAACAATATCATTTGTTTCTTTATTACTGATATTTTGTATAAGGGATTTTGCGGGATTTGAGTGACCTATATGATATTATTGTAATTATTGTAATTATTTAGAATAAAACTCTTCGCATTATCAGAAAATTTTTTTTTAATTATACCAGAAGACATTAAAAATTTAAGTGGTTGATCGTAAAAAGTATCTGATCCTTCATTGAAAAAAGGATCGTTAAGTAGCTCTAATGGTGTTGGTCTTTTTCTCTGATCTCTATATAAATTAACGACCCCAAAAAAATGAATAAATCCATCATTTTGATTACATAACAATAAATATAGAATATGATTATTACTCTTCGAGCATTTTTTGCAGAATATCTCGTACTGTTGATGGTAAATCACGACCAGCTGTATATATTATATATTATTTATTATATATTTATGTTTATGTCGTTAATTCTAAAAGGAAAGAGAGGAAAAAAGATTATAAAAAACCTACAAGTCTCGAATACATCATCCAAAGATTCAGAATCATCAACAACATTCAATCCAAATAACATTTGTAAAAATACAACTCCAAGATACCAAATATCATTTTTCCTAAAATTTATAAATTTATAAATATAAATTTTTTATGCTAATATCATAGATAATATTAATAGCATACCTAGAATAAACATCGGACTTGGTTTCATGTTCAGGCGATATCCTGCATATAACAACGCCAAATAGCAAATACAAATATGGAATGCCAAATTGTAAATTATATATGTTAAATTTTTTAGGATCGAAATCAATTATGATGTTAAAGCAATTTACCAATTTTTCTTATATTCAGTATTTAAGGATTTAGATAATGGATAAACCTTATGCATGTCTAAGTATAAAAATATTAATAGAAAAAATATATAATTTAGATACTGAATCGGTGAATATAAATATATACATGTGTGTACATATGCATGTATAAAGTACCACCTAATAATTTCCTATGATAATTGACATCTGTTAATTTAGCAATAAAATCATCAGTTCCACTGATTTCAGCAAGTAAAATATTTGAAGCTTTAATATCTAATAATAAAATATAATTAATATAATTTTTATAAATTTAATAATAATATTATTGCTAAAAAATTATAAAAGTACCTTTATGAACAAAACTATTTGCATGTATAAAATCTAAAGCATTTAATAATTGTTTAATGTATTCTTTTGCAATTGACAAACGTACTACTCCGCATTTTTTCAATAGATCGACAAGTGAACCACCACGAGCATACTCCATAAGAATGTGTAACTTCCAACCTGAAGCAACTCTTTCGAGTTCAGATTCGTATATAGATATTATATTTGGATGTCTTAATTTTTTTATTCTTTCAAGATCTTTTTCAATTTCTTCCAACTTTTTTTTTATATTATTATTTTATAAGCCAAAATAAATTGTGAAGAAAGATGAAAAATGAAATGTTGACATATTGAATTATCTTACTTTTTTCTTTCCATCAAGGTCCAAATAATGCGGCTCCGTTATTTCAATCTCTTTAAGCACCAATACATAACTACTTGATAATTCTAGATTTTTTATTTGAAAATTCGAAGCCTGGACCAATGAAATAGAGCTTATTGACCCTTATAATACAAAAAAAAATGAGCTAGCTAATTAATTAATTAATATTTAAAAAGAAAAGGAAGAAGTATGCATTTACCTTTTCCTATAGAAGGCCCAAGCACTACAGACTTAAAAGGCATTGACTAGTAGTAATAATGAATGATAATCGTAGTAGTAATCAATTAACGAAATTATCATCGATCGATCTTATCTATCTGAAAATTACTAATATATTAATACCTGTGAATCATCCAATCTAACAAAATTCTCAAAGTTAATAGTTCGAAAGCCCGCAAAAGAATTATTAGTTGGATTCAAATTTTCATCTTCATTTATCTTCATTAATTTTCTTTTTTGTCGTTCCTCCTCAATTTTCGCCTTTTGAAGTTGTGTGACTTCATCAATTTTTTGAAGCAAGGATAAGTCCTGCATTTGTTGTTCGCGTTCTTGAATTTGACGTACACGATTAACTTCTTCCATTGATTTTTCTAGTTCAGCCTATGCACACGCACATAATCAAAAATAAATAAAATAAAATAATTGGTTGATTTTATTTTATTTTTTAATTGACAATATTCTCTTTAACGCTCATATTCAATCACACCTTTGTTGTTTGCTCAATACGATTCAGCATCTGTTCATGAAAAGAAGGTTGATTTTTATGATGTCCAATATTTTTAATTCCACTATTATTTGCGGTAATGTAATCTTTAATGAATTCAGCAATTGTAAACACCATTTCTTGGCCAAGGTTTTCTTTTATTAAACGTGAAACATGTGATTGAAGCTGTTGTAATTGTAAATTTGAAAGTCCATGAACATTTTCAATTTTCATATCTGGAGCAGAGCGAGGATAAGTTTTAGGAAATCTGATATATTTAATAGTTATTCGAAAAGAAGTTTCAACATTGAATATGGAAATAATATATATATAAAATACATGTATACATATATAAAATATAAATATTACACACTTTACATGTAAATCAACTTTAACATGTTGTTTTAATTTTTCTTCTTGAGGCCATAAATGAAGTCTGAATTGATGACCAGCCGGAGCAACCTTCCAAGCAGTAGCCACCACAATTGGCTCATAATCATCCATAAAAATCGCTATAATGATAATAATTATGATTTATTAATAATTTGCAAGCAATTAATTAACAATATTATAATGATGATTGGTTGTGAATTCAATTACCTTTTAAAGCTTCAATTTCATTTTCCTGTGCTTCCTTGTTAAGTAGATAGAAATTAATCATTTTAATAAAAAAATAGAAAATAGAAAATAGATGATGATAAGTAGCATGAATTAGCAAAAAAAAACCTTTGATTCTTTCAATCCTAATTGAGAAGTTAGAAGAGATCGTGAACCTTTCGACTTGACCATGGAGGGCGTAATAAATGCAACTCACTGCATAACTCAATTAAAAAATTTTTGAAGAATCACTAAATAACTTATTTCATTATTACTTAAAATTTATTAGACTAAAATAGTAATTGACTCCAAATTGACTTAAAGTCATAAAGTGCATAAAGCCTTGACATTGTGTTTTTTTTTTTGGCTTTGATGAGTATTATAATAATAACTCACCTTTAAAAATAGAATTGAAATATATACACCTTTCTAATATTTAAATTATCGGTTAAATCTAAACTTTTAAATAATTTTAAAACTTAATTAATTGAATTGAAAAATAATCAATTGAAAATAATCGAATAATTTTTAAAGAAAGTGTATAACAAATATTACTAATTCTTTGACACGCGTATTTGTTTTATTTGAAGAGAAAACGCAAGTTTGCTGGTTGTATGTAGTACAATACTTTTCATCGAGTTAATGGTAGAATTGTTACACAGCACGTCATGGCAAAATTTAATTCGTTTTTGATCGACATTCGAACCATTTTCTTTGTGTTACATATATAGTAATAGCAAGCATGGCCTGACTGAATAAATACGCAAATTTTATCAATATCAAATAGATATTGGATTGGAGGCAAATTTTTACTTGACAATACAAAACCATTAATTTAACAATAATTATATATATATATATATATATACCTTGTTTCTTTTGCCTGCGTCCTATTTATCTAATAATAAATAATAAATATATATTAACCTTGTTTCTTTTGCCGTGTCCTATTTATCTAATAATAAAAAGTAAATATATTATACAAAACCATTAAACCTTGTTTCTATTATCCATGCCCATTTATCTAATAATAATAATAGATATATATTATATAAAATTATTAATTTAATGACCAACGAATCAATCTTTATGCAAATTTACATTTCAGGTGCTTTTTGTAGGGTAGTGTATTAGTATGTAGGTCGACAGAAATAATAAAAATAATCCATCAATCCCAATATTTATTATAATGACGGCAGAATTAATGATTTTGTATTACCATCTTTCCAAAGTACACCGCAACTATTATCAATATCTAATACATATTCATCAACATCAACACCCAAATACTTTCGATGACAACGCCTTTGGAAAAGTAATCAATTTGTAATTCGCCAGGTCAAATTCTGATTCATATTGTTGAATTCAAACCCTGTGATCTATTTACAAAAATTTTGATACTCAAACTATACTTTGTTTAATTTACAATAGTGGAAAAGTTTAACCTTTCAAGTGTATTTCAAGTATGCTAAATCATATTGAATAAATATATTTCAAGTATGCAGTATGTTTTAGTATAATTTTACACATTCTTAAAATACCCTTGATTTTTCCATACTTTAAGTATTTCGAATACCTAAGCTTTTTGTAGGGAATGCATATATCGTTTTGTAAAATGCAGGAAATTGGAGATCTACATAAAGGTGGTAAAGGTATTATTAGAGATATCTCCAAAGAATTAAATATTCCAAGAATTACACTATTCTTTGTTATCAAAATTCAGGATATCATAAAAGTTTGGTAGGCCAAAAGCGTTAAATAAACCTTGCCAAGAAAAGTTAAAGATAATGAAAGTGATCGCATCCAAGTAACTATGATTCAGAAAGGATGGTGCTGTGGTTTCTATTTAAACAATTTGTAAGAATTCGCATGATCTTGAGATTCGGAAGGCCAAAGATGCTAGATATACCTGTCCAAGAAAATTAAAGGGACTTCTTGTAAAAGAAAATAATCACATCTCAGTAGTTATGATCCAAAAGATATAGAGAGGATGGTGTTGTGGTTCTACTAAACAATTCGTTTTTAGATTAAAAAAACTAGCATTTTTATATTTGGTAAATAGTAATAATTACAATAATTTATCGATTATTTATAAATAAAATAAAAAATTTAAGTTGTTGTCTTTTTATGAATACAATAAGAAAAAAAATCTTTTAAACAGTTTAGTTTATAGATAAGCATCACTTTAAAAATTGAAGAATCTATATGTATTTAGTGATAAAGAAGTTAATTAAAAACATAAATTATCTGTCGATTGCGATTGGTTTTTGGAGAATTCAACCTGTAATTTATCAATCTCGGATTGATAACTATGAGGAGAAAAATGACCATCTATGGACTTATGAAAGGTGCCATAGGGATCTGGATATGCTCGGCTACTTTTAGGTTCTATACCCAAATAGAACATAAAATTTTTTCTCCTTGCATTCAAATATACTCTACTAATTTTGAATTTATTTTTTTTAATTTCTAAATAATAATCCATCAATCCTAGGTTTTTAAGGTTAACGATTTTATTACATATCATTATTAATCCAAAGAAGATGCTATCGTTCTTTCGTTCTTTGAAATCGCCTTCTTCCAAAGCATTAAATAAATTTATTAACCTAACAATGACAAGTTCTATATCAATTTCTATAAAAGTGTCATTTGAGGTACTATCTTTTATTTCAGTTGCTACGTTTTTATTATCATTTTTACTTAAATGAATACATCCGAAAACATAGTCAATCATTAGAAAGTACAAAAAGCATAACTTTTCAATTTCTTTAAGATGCCTTAATAAACCGTCATCGTCCAACAGATTAAATAACACAAATCTTATCTCTTTATGGGTTTCTTGTTGATAATCACGCAATTTTTGATGAATTGATTTGATTATTCCTACATCATGCGAAGAATTTGCTGCTGAACGCGCATCAAATGAACAAAGACTTGTTTGATCGCATAAAAATCTTTTTGATATGTTTCTAAACATACTATAATCTTTAAATTTTTCACTTTCTTTTAAGATTTCTCTGAATTTTTCCATTTTTTGCTCTTTTTTTGATCGGATAGTTCTTTCCTCCATTATTATAAAGGCAAGTTATTTAAAAGAGCAAAAAAAAAAGCATTTATATAAAGTTTATTATGTATTATCCTCTCTCGGTATAATACAAACACAAAATTACGCGTATTGTAAAAAAATAGTGAATTTCTTTCGCCGTGTGGTATACGTTAACTTGTTGTCCGTCATCAAGAAAATTAATTTGTTGTCACTATTACTATTACTGTGATGCAGGGTTGGCAATAGACTGGGTCCATTGAGACCACGAGTTTTGGTATGGTCCATTTCCATTAATAAAATACTAAACACGGTAAGAATTTGATAAATATAATACATTTTGTTGTTATGAAATTCGGTTTTTCTAATAATTTTATTAGTGAGAAAAGTCGAACAATAAATCAGACAATCAATAGAATGACTCGGTTTAGAAGTTTAGTAATTTTAAAAGACAATTCCGAGAAATCAAAATTGTTGGTATTTTGATAATACATAATAATAAAGTTATAGTTAATAATACAATAATACACAAGAATATTAATATTAAAATCACAAACGACAAATTTAAAACTTTGACAGCATAGTGGACATTCGTATTATCACTTGTGACGTTATTGTAGCAACATCAGTTTCTGCTCGGATGAAAATTTATAAAATTCCAACAAATTCGTGAAGGTAGCACAACAAATTTCAAAATTTATTTTATACAGGAATTTCATAACCCTTTATTTATTTGTCTTTTCATTGTCAATATATAATATAGTATTGGCGTTAATTATTACAAGTGTTGCATGTATTATGAATCAATTTAGAATATCTAAAATTGTGTGTATTAATTAATATTAGCAATTATAAATGGTATTTGTATTGTAATTCAATTACATCGAATAATTAACAAGAGCCATCATGGTTGTTGTTCGGATGTTTATAATGGACTCCCTTAATTTCTCGAATTTTTAATTTTTACATGAGCGAGTATCACAAAATATTTCCACATGCCACACTCGAACAAGTAAATAATGCATATTTTCTTCGGTCACAGAAAGTTAAAGCAAGCAATCGACGCATGTTTATTGTGAGGATGATTGGAAAGTTATGTTTGAAGGAACGCTTGGTATAATGTTTGACTAATTTGTGTCTTTTTCTTTGATATCGATTTTCTCACTGTCATTTCCTTCTTAGCCACACAATCTCGTTTGCATGTCATTCACCGATGAATAGATGCACAACATCCACAATATTTCAACATATATTTCAAATCTAGCACCAAAATTAACGCTAAATCGATCAATTCAATATTAAGCCTTACAACAATATATTCTACCCGAATCTTACCATCACTCAAAATATGGTGAAGATTGTGATTTAAGTTTATTGGATAAATTGTACATATTTTCGTTGGCTGTTTAAATTAATAATGGTTTAAATAATTTAAAAAAAAGTTTTCAGAATACCAGTGACTGAATCATCAAATTTAATTATCTTATCAAGTTTTATTGAACGTGGAATTGCGAAAGATTTAATTAATGTTATAAAAATAATAAATATCAAGTTTTTTTTCATTCGTTTTATTGGTAATAACAAAAAGAAAAAATTACCATTCAAAGACTTTTTTCAAATTGTTTGAGAAAAAAGAGAGAGAATTTATATATATAATAGGAATAAATATCACCCTGGATTTTTACAGGATATAAAAATGCAAAGGATGGGGTTAATTCATTATATTTAAAGAAAAATTTTTTTCAAGCACGTTTGGGATACTTTAAACCAGTGTTGGCAAATCACGCGAGGTAAATTGTCAAGCCCTAAACCGTTAATAAAATAATATATATACATAGATGAACTTATTTAAAAAATTTAATCAAGTGGTTTTTTTTGTTAGAATAATACTTTATAAAAAAATCATCTTTTAATTCGTTGACTTCCTTCACTTTCTAAATAGATAGCAAAACAATATTAGATCTACGAACAGGTTTAGGTGCAGCAAAATTGGATTCTGAAATCAAAATGATAAAACTTATATATTCAAATGATGATAAGGTATATATAATATATATATATTAATATGAATTTTTTGGTAAAAATATATTACGTCCCATTTTTAATTAAAATTTGATTGGTGGTTTGTGCTTTATTTATATCAAGATAAAAAGGCAATATGAGAAAAGGTTGTTGAATTAGATATTGCAGGAAAATTTTTGTCAAGAATTCCTGCATTAAACAAAACCGATTTTTAATATGGTCAAACCTCGCTCCAAGGAATCTATGGGACACATAAGAGAATTGCATTACTAATCGGGTTTCAGAGAAAAATTCGTAATTATAATTAGTTGAAACGAGTTTTGACTGTAGAAAAACATGAAGATGCATTTTTATTATTATCAGATAATGATGTCAAACCTGAAAATACAAATATTAGAAAGTAATTTTGATGAAAAATGTCAATATCAATGAAAATGGTAATGGCAGGGAAAATATCATTCTAAGATTTATAATTAAAAAAAAAAAAAAAAGAAAAAACATAAAATAAATATTTAAACAATATTATTAATCCTAAATTTTTTAGAATGATCATAATTCATGCAATAATTCTCTTGATATTGGAAATTATTATGGTTTTTATTAAAATCTATCATCCAAGTCATATTATCTAAAGCTGCATATAATCGTGAATGATCCATCTAATAATAGAATTGAAATTAAGAACTTGGTTTATTTATTTAAATAATAATCATAATAATAGTAATTAATTGATTACAAACCTGCAATGAATATACTGGTGAGCGACTTCTACCAAGATAAACAGACCAGCCATCACCATACAATCTTCCACCTCTCTTTAAACTGTTTATCATATTATTTTTATAATATCTTAAATCAAACAATCTTATTAATCCATTTGAATAAGAACCAGAAGCTAATTTATGAAAATCATAATCAACAGAATAAACTGGATAACAATCACAAACAAATAAAAACAAAAAGAAATTGTTCATTGTTATTATTGTTGTTATTTTTTTTTAAAAAATAATTATTATAAAAAAACTTTTTTATATTTATACCAGGTGAGAGATCATAAGGATCTCTATATGATGCTATGCATTCCATACTTCTAGTGTCAAAGAGACGTGTTAATCCATCATAACATCCAGAAACAAAAGTATTTGGTAGAATTTGATTTGAAGCTAATGCATAAACACTACTATTATGATTATTTATTGAAAATCTGGAATCAACAAATCCGGTTGGAGTAACATAGTATAATGTCAAATGATTATCGCTTTTATTGCCCACTCCAATCAAATGACTATTGCATGATAAATCTTTTACAATATAAGGTTTACCAATTATTTTATGTGTATGTCTCTTTTCACCAGTTTCCACATCCCATAAAATCATCTTTAGATCTGTGCCTACCGAAATCAAAGATGATGATTTATCAGAAATTTGGCAGATTGATTGAACAATGCCATCATGCCCATAAAAAGTTCTCAGTTCATTTAGATGAATATGATTTTTGTGATTTTTGTTCAAATAGAATCTTTTGATTGTATAATCTACAGAACTTGTAAATATGTGATTTCTATTATTACAACAAAATATTATATCAGTAATGTCATCATTGTGAACATGAAAATTTTTTCTCTTATAGAACTTTGCTGGATCTTGGGGTGAGAAATAAGAAACATCCAGTGAACTTCCAACAGTGCAGATTAATTTTGCCGAGTCAAATTTTATTTTAGGCATTAATGCTTGTCTATGCCTTGCTATTATGGTTGGCTTGAACTTTCTTTTGTTCCAATTTTTATTTATAGCAAAACCAAATTTGACTTTTCCCTCCCAATCATTATCATATATAATAGGGTATTGTAATATATTCCAATTTTGACTATTGAAATATATCCTAAACCCATACTTCTTTATAATATTGTGATAGTCTTTGTTAACAAGAGATAAATTTGTCAAATCTTTTATTGACAAAAGCTCAATTATACAAAATAATAAATCAAATGGAAATTTTTGAAGCATTTTTTTGATTAATAAATTAGTTACTCAAAATAGAAATAATATTTTTCCTATATATACATTTTGGGCTACATGATAAACGATCGATTTCCTAATGTAGTATATGAACTATTAATGTGCAAAGAAAAAAAGTTTTGAAGAATAGAGGGTATCAATAATAAAGTCATTGCTGGATTAATCATATTCTACTTCTAATCAAGATTATGTTGATTCAGATAGTCAAGTGGAAGATGATGCTGAAGATGAACTACACAATGATGATGGTAATTCAAGAATTAATAAAAAAAAATTTTTTTAAAATAGAATCAGATCTTATTGATGTAGAAAATATAGGTAAACTGGCACCACAAATAAAAGCTGCATGTAAATCAAAAGATGTTCAAATATTTCATATAATTCTGATGATATTAAAGGTAGATTAAAATTAAAAATAAAATAAAATATCTACATTCATTAATATTTACATATATATAGCACAAAAAATGTAGCTAAAGATGTTAGAGAAACGGTCAGTATAAATCATTAACTAAACAAGGATACAAAATAATTGGAACATATTTTTTATGTTACTATAATTATAACAAAAATAAAATTTTCTGGATGTAGGGTGTAAAATTTTGCAAATGAACTAGAGCTGCTTTAAAAGAAAGAAGATTTTGCTATAAAAATAGTTTTTATGGAATTCAAAGGTAAATATGCATATGATCATAAATATAGATAAACATAATACTTTTATATTACAAAAAAATCATCTTTGTATGGAAACTACTCCACCTTTATCTGCGCAAATAAATGTGTATTTTGGTAAATATAAATATAAATATATATTTTATATAACTAATTTATTATATATGATAATTAATTATCTATAATTATTTATTTCATTCATTTATTCATTCCTTTATTATTATAAGTTGGAGACATCATACAAAACCAGTTGGGACAGAATGGAGGTGGAAGGTGGATGAGCAACATATGACTTTTGAAGGGGCAATGACAAACCATTATCAGATGATATATATATATTTAATTATATAAGACCTATTAAAAGAAAAAAAAATCTAATGTTGATTTAACAAATTTCAGTCAGTTTTGTGATTCAAATAATGATGAAGCTCAAGAGAATGAAATTGACAAATATTTGTCTTCAAAAGTACAAAGGAATTGAACAAGCATTTTAGAATGGTGGAAAACTCATCAAGATTATTATCAAAACTATCAATATTATGTTTTTATTATTTATCCCAGTGCACCCAGTGAAAGGGAGTTCAATGCAGCTGCTTTAACAATGAATGAAACCAATCAAATTTAAAACCAGAAACAGTTGATAGTGTTCTTGTTGATTATTTTAAAATATTCTTTCAATTTCTGTGTAAATATAAAGATTCTCATGATTTAGATTCCTTTAAGGAAGCATTCCAAGAAACCCTTACACTATGGGTTATTTGGAATGTTGGTCTGAAAAACTAGTTGGTTTTTGTTAAAATATTTTCAACAGATATAAAAAAATCTTGTCCTTGGTGGTTCTGTTAATATAGGAGGAAAGAGAAAAAGAAAATCAAAAATTAATTAATATAAATTTGCATCTCTTGGACTAGAAGTAAACGTAATGAGTCTTCCTATTGGTTTTAGCACAGGATTGTAAAAAAAAACATTGGGAAAAGTGAGCATGGGATAATCTAAACTGTTATAGTATCTTGAATAATGGCTGCAATCATTGTGGGCAATATTACAAAAAGGAATATATAAAAATGTTGATTCTTAAAGAGATTAAAAAAGGAAAAAAGGAACTTACAGAAGAAGATATAGAAAATCCAATGCTGAAAAGGATGATGAAGAGGAACAAGATGAGGTGGAATTAAACATTAATAATTGAGAAGTATGTCTATTGAACCTCATAATGCTTTAAATAATATAGAAAAATGGTAAAAATTATCCTTGCTCCAAATGTATAATCCCATTTTAAATTTCCAAAAAAAAAGTAATTTTTAGTAAATATATAATGATAATATTTTTATATAAAGTCGCGATAAGCGCCAAGTCGGTCAATCACTTGGCCCAAGTATAATTAAATGAATCACGATAAGTCGGTCTCACGTGATATTTCATTATTGTGAAGGGTCATCATTACTATTTTAGTAATGTATGATTTAATAATTTTTTATTCGTCCATGAACAATGTATTAATATTATTATTCAATAATTTAGAGAAAATTTTTGTCTAATTGCAAACAATACATCTATATTTTTATCTCATTTTTACATTATCACTTATATCATTGATTATATCGTGCGAAGAAATACATTTGTGTTCCTATTATGTTCAGAAATATGTATAAAAAGATTGATTTCACAACCTTCTAATGTTTGGGATAAAAGATAAATAAAAAATTTTAAATTAAAAAATCACGTGAAATTTGATTAGTCGACTTTATCAAGTTTTTTGGATGATGATAATTTTTCTTGTGTGTAACATCAATTTAACAACGCTTTTTTAAAATGTAATAATTTATTATAATTTTTTGTAGAATGAATTTATTTGATATATTTAAGGAAAGGTTATTGTTGCGAGTAAATTTATATTTTATGATAGGATCATAAATTAATTTATGCTTTTTTATATGACATGTTAATATATTTTGACATAAATAATAAAACTTTCCCCCCACAAATTTAGAAAATCGTTCTTTCCAAACTGTTAAAAGGAAGAAATAAACAATAATAAAAATAATTCATAAAATTAATAAATCATAAAATCATGAATTCAAAAATGTTCACATCAATTATTTTATTTTATATCGTTTCAACAACTATATTTCTTTTTACTTCGTCAAACGAAGCTGTATGTATTAATAAAGCGGTTTATGATAGTTGTAGAAATATAGGCGACACTAAATTAGCTTCTTGTCCACCATCGGGTTATACCTGTCAATGTGATGCGCGCAAACGTATTTCTTTCTTTCTTTCTTTTAAAGACTTTGTTTCATAATTAAATAAATTAAATGATGTTTTTTCCCTCTTGAAAAAAAATATAGAAATTCAACTTTGTTTTCAACAATGTCGAGACGATCTTGATATTCAAAACGAAGGAAAAGCCTACGAGGTAAATTTTATTTTTTTCCTCTTCATCATCATCGTCATGGCATTCCTTCTCTCATTCTTATTATTAACAATTATAATAATGACTAGCCTGCGGTCCAACAGTTTTGTGGGCTTGCAGCATCTGTCGGTTCAACAACAGCTTTAACTCCAGCATCTCCACCACCACCACCACCACCATCCGTAACATCTACTTTTAGCCAATCATTAGCAACAACTTCCTTTGTACCTACTGGTAATTCTACATCATCATCGTCTGGCAGCAACATTCCAACAACCACAATCACCACAAAAACTACTAGTAACGCAAATAAATTATCACTATCGAAACCAATTGTGATGTTTTTAATTTTCTTGTTAGTTGGTTACATTGTGATGGTTTAAATATTAAAAACCTTGATTATAATAATATAAAAATTTAGATTAGCATTAATATAATAATAAAAATACTTTAATACATATTACACGGCGCATCTCGATTTTAGCTAACCTTGATTTACAGATTTCAGGGTTTAACGAAAACCAAATCCATTTATTATTATAATTATTTAACCTTAATATTACAGATTTTTATATAAAAATCTCAATCTGAGGTCATTTGAACTTCCAGATTTGTTACTAAACATTGACCATGTTGTCCCAGCTGAATATTTTCAATGCGAACATCAATTTAGAGATGTTAATTGATTTTAGCCAACTGAATAGATTTTATATAAACTCTAAACAAGTTTTTTGTTTCGTTTCAAAAAAAAAATAACATGACTAAAAAAGTAAGGATGCAAACAAAAACTTGAGGAAAGCGCCATATGCCATAATATCACTAAATAAAGTTACATATATAAGTTACTTTTTGATTTACGTAATTCGGGTTTGCATTACTTAAAAAGAAAAGATAAACAGTTAAGGTATAGCATACGACCATACGACAAATCTTTCCAAGGGTTACGACATAACCGTGCAACGATTGTTCTTTTGTTTATCTTCAAGAATTTTTACCTCAATGTCATTTAAACTAGTAAAGCTTTTTCTGGCAGAGATATCAGAAATAATAGTAATTTTCCCCTTGTCGTCAATATCTTCAATCCGAACAAAGTTGTGCATATTTAAAATTAAGGACGTGTCATTAATGATGTATTAAAATGCAAATGGCAAAGTAATGAAAGATTTTTAAGAAATATTTTATGACTAAAGCCTTGCATGCGTGCATAGATAACAGTATCACATGTGTGGTACTTCTATAATAAAGTAATGGACCATTATGTTTGATGTAACCATTTGTGTATGTTTGATATAATTTTACTCCTGAAGACTTGGAATTTTGAGTTGGATCAAGATCTGTGTAGTGTTGCAAATGATATTTTATTTAATTATTGTTCCTTGCCATTCATTATCCACAAAAATTCCGCAATCGCCAAATCGATTTCTAAATAAGGATAACACGCACTCAACCCACCAATAAAAATTGGATATTAATATTCTGGATATTTTTTGCGGATAACTACACGATTATTTCCTTGCCAGTGTTTTCTTTGTAAATAATTACATGGTGTATTGTTTGTGGACAATTTAGATATGTCAATAACCAAGTTTCCGATTTCTTTACCAACTACAAAAGTGTTTACATAAGACTATCTTAACTTCTGTGATAAAGCACACCCTTAAGACATAAAATTACAATACTTTTATTAATTCACTTTTATCTCTTTCTTGTTACTCTTTGTTTAGTTTTCCAATTGTCTCGACTATTTTAGTGCAATTCCATGTGAGAAGTCGTAGATGTGCAAATTACGAGAAAGCAATTCTTCTGTCAATAGAAGGAAGGATGCGCCATTAATTTTTGGTTGTTCAAGCTTTTTATGCACATTATTTTCTTCAACGAATGATTTGTCCTTCTGCTTCTCTAGATAAGTGATAATATTCTCTATATTCCAATCTTTAAGGTTAATTGGTAACGAAGACATGATTTTGTAAGTGAGGCTAATTAGATTACTTTTTTCCTTGTTTTTGGGGCTAGTAATTTTTAGGGGAATTAAGTTAGAATGATATCATTAATTCGTCATTATATTACTCACAAGACGGAGGTGATAATTAATATTACAACAACCAACATTGTTTTCATGTAATAATAGATTCTGGTGCGGGAAAATTATACCAATTATTTGGGGAAAGGCATTGAAAAGATTATCAGTAAATCATAAAAATCGAGAACACTTGGTTTTAATTAATCTATTGCTCATTTAGTATTTAATTAATATTAGATGATTGATAAAATCAAAATCAAGAGCTGTTCTAAAGAAAGGCTTAACTCTAATTCTAACTCTAACTCTAACTCTAACTCTAACTCTAACTCTAACTCTAACTCTAATTCTAATTCTAATTTTAATTCTAATTTTAATTCTAATTCTAATTCTAACCAGCGTGTAAAATTGAACGGGCGCAATGGGCGCGTGTAACATTATTAACTAATCAAATTTTGAACTTCTAGAAATAGTTTCTAAATTTATACTAGTCACACGACGAAATTTACTCACCGATTCTAATTCTAATTCTAATTCTAATTCTAATTCTAATTTTATTTTAATTAATGATCCTATTATTAATAGCAAGTTTCGTAGATCTTGTCCTTAACACTTACTTTGATCGCGCCTATACAACTATTGAGTAATTGGTAAAACGTTCATCAAATATAAAGGTTTGTTGTACTCACTCCATTCATTACTCATTAATTCTGGTAATTATAATTCATTAGTTCAAATGCGTAATGAGATCTAATTTCATATTTGTTTTCTGTAAAAAAATAAAAGCAAGTTTGTATTCATTAATTATAAAACAAAGGTGAAAATTTTAACATAAAGAAGTGACTCGCATTAAACCAGTTGCATCATTATTTGATTCATTTTGGTTTTTTGGCCTATACGTGATAATCCGAATAATAAAAAACGACAAGGTTTAACAACTTGATGAGTAAAATTTTATTCGTTGATTTGAAAGACTTTAATATTTCCATAGAACAAATTCAAATCTTAATCTTTATTATCATCCTCAAAAAATGATGTTTCGTTGTCGTCATTTGCTACTTGTTAATATTACTGTTTAATGTTGCTATAATAATAATACTTTCTCATAGAAACTATTGGTTGATGTATTGTTTGTGCTCTTCGTCGTATATTAATATGAGTCTTTTCCCAAACGTCATGTTTCTTATATACAAATGTAACCAATCAAGCCAATTAACGAATTTTATCTTCAAATATTTCTTTTTAAAATGTTTACTTCTTTTAAATGAGAATAATAAACAATTAATAAAAGAGAAAGATCATATCAACAACCGATATGAGCCTCCAGCGAGAGGTTCCACCCTCTCACTTGCTGGGCTTTATGTGGGTCACATGGGTTCACAATTTACCCGAGACGAGTACCAATAATAGAAACATTAAAATTATATGCCAAGTTTTTCTTAAATTATGAGATGCAGCTCATCACATTTCGTTGGATAAATATAATTTTTTTTTTATTGTGTAATCCAATTAAAAAATAATGAAAATAAAAATTCAAAATGTTCAATAGAAAAAGTAGAATTGACGATTAAAGTAATGGTGTTAGAAAAACCTTGGCCGACTAAGAACTTAAATAAATCCCAGTTGATGAAAAAAAATTTCGGATGGTACTAAACTTGCCGGTATTATTACTACTATTACTATCGTTATTATTACTATAATTTTTATTACTATTATTTACTATTGTTATTATAATATCTTGTCCTTAATGGTTCGAATGAGGTTTATTTGAATTATTTGTTACAAAACACATCAACTGACTAAGAAGGCTAGCGGAAGAAACTAAAAATTAACATAAAAAAGCATTACAAAATATTTATTCGTCACGAATTTGAGTATTTGAATTACATTGAATAAACGATAAAATGAATAATAATTCGAATAGAGCGAATGGTTTGAATAAAACGAATAATAATAATTCGAATTAAATAAGAATTTGTATTACGAATAGAAACTTTAACTATGACTTTTATCCTGCTATAATGTATTGTGTATTTTTTTTTGTTATTCCAAGTAATGCAGATGTACCCACCTCAACTAAATTTCTATGCCATTGAATTCTGCACTAAAATTTCAGATGTAAAAATGAATGTTGAGAGATTTTTTTTTTAGCCGGCTAACATCATTATATTAAAGATAGGAACCGCAATTAGCCGCAATTCAACTTTCATATGCCACAACCGCAACCGTAATTCAATTTTTATATGTGCAATTAGTTGTAACTAGTCGAAGAGCCATCTTTATTGACGATATGTTGCGAGTTTGTGAAAGTAATTGTTAAAGACAAGATGTATGACGTACAAAGATCCCAAAGCAAAATCATGCAATTTCAAACCACCGAGGCTTTTTTTTTTTTTTATCAATGAAATGTAAGTTTTTTAATAAAAAAGTCATTTTGGTCACACACTATTAAAATCAAGTGACCAACTCATGTTTTTAAGGGATTTTTTGCTGTTTTAATAGTGTTGTAACCCCCTTAATGATATTCATGATATTCATGAATAAAAACCCTAAAAATACTATATAACAAAATTCAAACCCGTATAACTTTATATATAAGCTTCAGATTAAAGATACACGTTATTGAGTTATCATTAAATAAAAATATGGAGCCCTTTTTAATTCAAATAATATCCTGGGCATTAGAATATTAATTTCTTCCTGTGCTTATATCACTTTTGATTTTATTGTATAGATTGAATAATTATTGTTTCAATAATAAAAAATCTTATTTTTTAAGAAATGAAAGCATATGTTGTTATTAATCTAAAGCTAATAAGTTGAATTAAATCTTAATTTTTAAAATAAAAAAATCATAAATATTTCATAAATATAAAAAAATATTACAAGAAATCTATTACAAATGTTACTTACATAAAATGCATAAAAGAATAATTACATAAAATACAAAAGATCCTTTTCACTCAAAATATATTTTTCATAATTTTCATCACTCGCTATTATTTCCGATATTTAAATTCAAATTTAATATCGGAACTTAAAGATGGTGATAATGACGGGTTTAAAGATGACGAAGAATTCAAATTCAAATTTTCATTTTGACTTCAATTAATCTACCAATTATGAGAAGTAATTATCGAAGAATCATAATGATAATTGCATGAATTGTTATCGTTATAATTATCGTTATTGTTATTAACATTGTTGTTATAATCATAACAATTCGATTCACAATTTGAATTTGAATGATTGTTGATATTGATAATTAGCTCATGTGGAAAATGTAACGGCAATTGAATGTGATTATTATTGCCATTGTTGTTGTTATTGTATATACTGTAATTATAGGGGCAATCATAATTGTCACCATTATTATTATTAATGCTGACATTACTATCATCAATATTGTCATTGTTATAAATGTTAATATTGAAGGATAAGTTGTAGAAATCAAATGGAGAGACCGGGGTTGATAATATAGGAGTCGGTAACGGTGTTAACGGTGTTAATGGTGACAAAGGTGACGATATCGACGGTTCGTAATTGTTATTATCGGCAATAAAATAACTATTATTAATACAAGGAGTATGATGATTATTAATATTATCACTAGTATTAATATACCCAGGATCGTCAGCATCACCAGTGGAAGGAATAATATTAAGAATATTATTATCATGAGAAGAGGACAATTGAGGAAGTAGGCTCTTAGTAAAAGAATCTGCAGAAGGTGCAGGTGTAAGTGTAGCAGTAGTTGTGGCTGCAGTTGTAATAGGTTTAGCAACTATAGTTGTAGTAGAAGTTGATTTATCAACATGAACTTTATTAATTTTTAATTTCTTTTTTTTCTTTTCTTTTTTATTATTATCAGTTTGTTTATCAACAGCAGCAGTAGAAGCAGAGGCCCGAGAATTCGAAGATTTTTTAGGGCTGAACACGTAACCAGGATGAGCTTGGCTATGTTCCATTTTTTTACGGTCTGCCAATCTTTGCCAATGCATTTTAATATCATCTTTTTCATTTCTCCACATTTTTGCCAAGATCTTTGAAATTTTTGAATTAGTAATGTTACCATAATGTGCGGTGATTTCTGGTTGTTTTTCACGTCTATAAAGAATAAACGCATTTGGAGGCCTTGGTGTTTTCCTTAAAGAAGGTCGCATTTGTAATTCAGTTTCATCAATGATAAATTGACCTTTGTCGTTATTGTCGACAGTAAATTTTGAAGAATATGATGATGACGATGGTGATGATGATAATTTATTAGATCTGATTGGCAATTGTGGTCTTACTCTGATCGGTTCCATGAAAGAAGTGAAGACAAAATTATCTTGTGCTCTGATACAACTATTTTCAAGAGAAGTTGTACAATCGATCATCAAAGAATTGTTACATTGTACGTCGTTGTTTCTTTTAAGATTCTGAGGTGGAATATCGAACATAAGTAAACCACAATATTGTCTTCTCGCAGCCTCATCCATTTTTGTTTTATCAAAATAGAATTTATGACGAAGCGGTAGGTAATTTAGAAGAGAGTGAATGATTAGGTTTTTTATACAAGAAAAAAAAAAAAAAAAGTTGAAAAAAAGAATGAATAAGATTTTTTTAAAAAAAAATTTAAAATTAAAAAAAAAAATCAATAAAAAATATAAATAAATAAATAAATAATATTAAAAAAACCAAAAAATTTTGTATGAAATCCACAGGCCTAAACTTTTATAATCGAGAATAGTCAAAGTATTTATAAATTTGATTGATTGATAACGAGAACAATCTAGACTCACATAATCAGTCAGCGTAATTTGAGATGGGAACTAATCCAAAAAGATTAAGAAAAAAAATGCGCCAGCACAACATAAGATGCTGATAAATGTGATAGTGGTGGTGGTAGTAATAGTAGTAGTAGTAGTAGTAGTAGTAAAAGACATTGAGCCAAAAAAAATTCCTCGCGTGTTATATCTTACGCCAATTTTCAGATAGCAAAGTACGAGCGAATGGATAAGCGAATTGATAGTTTGAATGAATGAATACCAAAAGAAAAATTATCCTAATTGACACCGGTCGTTAATATTTGTGATTGTGATGTACACGTACTTAGAATTTGGTATGATCTGAATACCAGGAAATTGAGACTATCCAACATGAACAAACAAGCAGTTGATTGTATGGCATCATTTATAAAAAAAAAAGTTTAGATTTAAACATAGCAATTTTATTGGATTCCATTACAAGTAAGAATGCAAGTTATTTCATAATCAGTTAGTTGATATCATTTTCTCACACGCACCTTTTGATTACGCCATAATTTCATTATATTCATATCCATTTTTAAATTATTTTACCATTCTATTAATATTCTTAATTTCTTAATTCGTAAAACCGCGTTGGTTAGCGTCAATTAAATTGATCCAACAATAAACAAAGATTCACGCGTCGATATAACAATAATTAATATTTTATTAATTAACTTGCAAGAAATTATTTATTTATATCCGAATTTATCAATTCACAAATATTCCACTCTAATTTTTTTATATTTTTGGATAATGTTCCAAAGATCACCAATTTTAATTTAATTACAGTAATTACACCTGATTAGTATGACACAGGAATAACGGTTATTGGAAAATAAATTAAAATCATCATCACCTTTATTGTTATTCGTCAACACATAACAATAACTTGTTTTGAATATTTTTGGAAATTGAATGTTATAAATCAATTGAAACTCTAAATTTAGAATGTTATTGCAGCGACTTTGATTGATAATCTCCAGTGCAGTATATAAAATAGTGGACTCGCTTTTTTTAGTTTCATCCAATCACATTGGTTCATTTCTGGTTTCTTTCTCCCTTCCTCTCTTTTAATATGTATACCATAAATCTTAATCAGAATGAAGCTAATAAAATCTGCAATCCACAATTTATTTATTATCCTTCTTGATTCTATTAATCCGCTGGTTAGTTCGATTTCCATTTCCAACTTATTACTTTTTCCCACTATGTATATACATATATATTAACATTTATTATATTGTTCTCCTTAATATTTTTGTAATGTGTGTGGATTGCACAACAATTATACATACATGACAAATAAAACACTTTTCTTGTGAATGGTCATCCATAATTAGAACAATTGAAACAAGTTTTTTAAGATAAATAAAGTTACTTGTATGTTCGAGAGCGTGAAATTTAAATTAGCCGATCAAACAAAAAAAAATTTTAATGTTCGTCAAATTTTTTTTTTTTGTAGAGGACAAAGGAAAATCACTCCCAAATTTGCTCAAAAATATAGTATATACAACAACATTTAAAAATCCAAAAAAAAAAAAAAAGGTTCGAGACAATTTTTTTCTTGAATGAAACCCTTTTAAATCCAACATGCGGATCACATGTATTATGATCTGCGCTACAGAATATTTGATCGAGCAAAACAAGCTAAATGAATGTTTAAATAATCCTTTATTTTTGTTATCATAATCAATTATATTCATCGTAGTACGCCATTTGCTTAATAGACACAAGAGTTTGTATAAAACCATCATCAATCCACGCATTGGACTTATTGAAATTTTCCTTCTTTGAATTTAACTTTAGTAATAATCAAACTTCTTACAGAGACAATAACAACGACTTTTTATTTATTTAAAAATAAAAAACAATATTAATTCACTTTGGGCAGGCGATTATTCCTGCACAACAGTGTGTGTTACATTTTATGCAGATTTATTAAATTAATTAGTATTGTTTTTGAAATATTAAGATTAAAGAATTGTTACGCGACCATTAAAAAACCTATTTTTAATGATTTTAAAGAGCTGTGACTCAGCCCAGTTAGTGTTGGTCGCCAATATGGATGGGCGTCTAAATTGTTTTTGGGGTTGCCTAAAGTCAAAATAGACAAAAATGTCTAAATGTCTAAATTAATATAAATAGTAATGATTTGCTTTAAATACAACTAAAAGTCACGTGTA